CAAATTTTTCTGAGTGAACGTTCCTTTATGCTTAGTCGTCCTTTAACGAGTTCTAAATATCCAGAAATTCAGAATCCTTCACCGTTCCATTAGATGTTGGACTTTTAATTAATAATTTTTCCTTCAGTGCCTGGGTTCTTCAATGACTTGTCCCAATTGTTAAAGGCTATCAATTATCAATTCTTTTTTTTTTTTTTTTTTCGTATACTTCTTTCTACCTCGTCGCCATTGTTGAAACTTGACGAATGCATGGAATAATAATGCAACACAAAAGATACTTAGAACAAAATGTATTGAAACAAGAAAGTGTACACAATATTTACATATAGCCTTTTGTATATTCCTGGTAAGACCGTTCCTGGCGAATGTGTTGACTGAGTCGCAGTCGGGCAGAGTCTCTGGTTGAATCTCTTGATTCCTTCCTTTCTTCCCGGTACCAACCATATTTATATGGTCGGTACTCCACTATGCAAATTAGTTGGATCCTACCACAACATATATATATATATATATATATATATATATATATATATATATATATATATATATCAATGGTTTTGTTCCATTTAATAAAATATATCTAAATATAGATATATATATCCTTCATTTAGATATGTTTTATTAAATGGAGCGGACCATTTGATGAGTTTCAACTAATGTGAAATAAGTCATTTGATGTCGATACAAACCTTAGAAATAAATTTGCAAAAAGTGTGTGTAATGATCCTAGTACTTTCACTATCATTAGTCATTTTGAATTAAAGAAGGCAGAAGTCGAACGACAACCAATAAAACGTTTATATTTATTCATGATTCGGAATTTGAAATGAACGTGTGTCGTCATGCTATGGTTATGGAATGGTCTCTAATATGAGACATGTTTTTAATATTAGAACATGCAATCAGATGGATGGGTCGTACAATCTGGAAGAAAATTTGTAATTGTGGTCAATTAATAGAGAAATCTACGCAAGATGTGAGAACCACCCATTTTTCGCAATTCATGTGCGTCTAGTAATTTTTCCACCAATTTTTTTGCTCTTTTCTTATATAACTCCAAAAGCACCGATAACAATATGGTATGTTTTTTTTGTTTTGTTTTTTTTATTTTGTGATGTCACCTTCTCCGGATTTCTATCTCGAGGAACTTGTATTTACTTAAGCGTTTACAGATTTGCAAGCATCTATCAAGAGTCAGTTGTTGTCAAAATAATTATTCTGGTTGATTTGCTTAGATTTCTCTGTCGACCTGAACGCTTAAATTCTAGAGGATGCTAACCTCACCATTCTGTACAACTTGTGGTGGCTTATGTTCCCACAAATTATTCTTACGGGGGGGGAAGTTGAATGCACGACACGTTAGCCAATGTATATAGTGAGCGGCCTCTTCATGTCATTGCAAGTAATCTGCTGGCACCAGTCGCGGCGATATTATGAGGTTTATTATTTCTGGATGTTTGTGCTGCTAAGTTTTCCGACATTATATTTGCATATCCAGCTTGGAAGATACTAATCCTTCTGTTTCTAGTTTGAGTCCAGGGCCTGCCTAACCCTAATACTGACTCTGGTGAGTTATTTGCCAGGCAAAGGAATTTATCTTTCTCTTTATCCCCAGTGTTTTCAAGGCCAATTTGTTTTGTTGTATTTTTATTTGTTTTACTATTTTTATTTCCTTCAGATTCTGATTCGTTTAACAACTTTCCAGAAGATATGTTATGGAGTTTTGTTTTTTTTGTCAAAAAGTGCAATTTTCTTATACCTTCGTGTTTCAGGACCACTCTTAACATGAAGTTGTTTGTTTGCTGCAAGAAAGCAAAATGTGTTGCAGTTTTCAGTGATAGTTACAATTGAATTTAATCCCCGACCAGCTTCTTGTCTTGAAAGCTCCAATTGAACAACATTTGATTTTGAGTGCTGCATGTGTTTCTCTGTGACAAGTTTTTTGTATTTTTGTATCAATTTCCCTTTTCACAAAGATGAGCTAATAAATAATATTGAAACTATATGTGATTACAGTGATGTCTAGTAAGTTTATGGGTTCCATTTTGTTTCTGGCATTCACTGTTTTCATAATGTCTCTTACTGAGCGATAGCATTTCTTTCGTATTTTTTTCTCTTATTAATGAGTGTTTAGCTCCCTCTCCTTGTAAAACATCTAAATAATAAATTCTCTTACTTCAGGTTCACTTATCTAGTGCTATATTTTGGCTGTTTCATAGTTGTCTCTTAAGAAATGTAGTCATGGCAACATTTGTGAAATTTAAATTTCATTTTCAACACCTCATCAATTTCTTTAACTGTTTGAGGGAACATTTACTGTTGATTTCCATTTCTGCTATAGTCACACTACCTACCAATTCTGAGGGAAGACCTAAAGCAAGTAGTGATGTATTATCATGGGGACATTTTATTATTTTTATTGATTTGTTTTTACAACTCCCATAACATCACTAGCGTTACAGGGGCAAAGTTCTTTTTAGTGTGTGGGCTGTACTTATCAAGACATTTTTTTTTATTTCTCTTAAGCTGGTATTTCCAGAGATTTTTCAATGTGTTGTTGTGTTTCAGTTGTTATCATTCCAAGCGCACCTACTATTACTGGTACTATTCCTATTTTCAATTTCGATTTCGAGGCCTTTATACTTAGATAGTTTTTCAAATTCCTTGGTTGCTATGTTACAGTCCGCTGGGCAAGCCATATCAATTAGTAGGCAAGTTTTTTCTTTTCGGTTTTTGACAGTTATGTCCGGCCAATATGCTTCAATCTTACTGTTTCTAAAGAACTGTGATGTCTTCTATTTCTGCAACCGGTGTTGGGTGATGTACATACCAGTGTTTGTTAACATCTTTTCCAAAGTGTTTGCACATTGTCCAGTGTAAATATTGTCCCATTCTATCGTGACGATTTTTATATTCATTTGGCTTAAGTACAGAACATCCTGAGATTAGATGGTCTATGCTTTCCTGATATTAGTCACATAACCTACATTTTGGATCCACACTATTATATATGATATTTGCCTGAAAGTTTCTAGTGAAAAGACTCTGGTCTTGCGCTGCAAGAATAATGCCTTCCGTTTCAGTCTTTAATCTAGATGTTCGTAACCATTGATGGGTGTTAGCTTTATCAATATTGGCTTTATTTGCACGTTCTGGATATTGGCCATGCAGAGGTTTGTCTCATCTGTTCAAGAGTTTTATCCTTGATTTTGTTTTTCATAATTTTTGCTGCAACAGTTTTTTCTTGAGTTCTATTTTGGTTTTCTACAGAATCTAATATATGTAAATATTCCTCCGTTGATGTCTATCTTACAAGACTTAGAGACTCCATTTATATGATTGAGTGAAGTGCTGTTTTCTATAGCGGTATATTTATTATTATTATTGTTGTTGTTGTTGTTTTGTTGCTGCTGCTACTGCTACTGCTCGCTTATTGAGTATTCACGCTAATATTAACTTGTAAATTAAGATGGAAATCAAATGACAACAGGCCACTTCAATACGGCAAGAGTTATCTTAATATTCTCTCTGTTTTCAAATAATGCTGTCGTCTGGATAGTCTCGACACTTTTTATGCTTCCTAATTCCTGTAGCCATTTTCCTACATTTTCAGGAACGTTACCAATGACAGCTAGCATGTAAAATTACATATATAAATGCATAACTTCATAAAATGCAACGCACAGAAAACTACTGTTGAGCTTAAAGACATCCGTTGAAGACTAGCGACATTTGCTTTCTTTCATGAAAGTACATTTTGCAAAAGATATTTATTCTAGTCTTTAACGATTCAAGAAATTCTGTATTATTTCGATTTACTCGGACAAAAGTAATCTAGTGCAATATATACCACCGTCTGTTTATGCCACCCCTGATATCTGGATGGGGAGAATTTATTTAATTATTACGTCATTCATACTAATTATGGTCTCATTCCGGTTCTTATGTTCGTATACCACACTCAAATCTTAAAATTTGCAAACACACATAGTAGAGGTTTGGTTTCCGTCACGATCAACAAGCATTCCAGTCAAGCTAAAGTTCTATGTTCACTGTTAAAATTTTAAGGCACAAATGATTGAATATCTTCCTCTCTATATTTCCCCTTTATATCTCTCTATTTATCCACATCTCCCTCTCTCTCTCTCTCTATATATATATATATATATATATATATATATGACACTAGCAGCATGGCCCGGCGTTGCCCGTGCTTGATTCCAAAAACATACGACTCATACAGCAATCGCTATCACTTGACTTAAAATATGTGTGCCCTTCCTTACCTTTAAAGGAGTGACCTTTGCCGTGCTGATGTTGCTACATGCCTTACTTCTTGTCTATTTCACACTGCGAATTTTTCTAAGCTCTATACTAAACATTAAATCTCTTACGAAAAAAGAACTAAAAAAAATGAACACAAAACGATCAGCTTTAAAAAAGGACTCGTAACTGGAAAAACCGAATGAAAAAAGAATGTTAACAGCAAATACTTTTTCACGCCCAACCCAGTTCTGCGGAATCAGAATCAATGTTGAGTTTAAGCAAGCGAATGAGCCAATTGGAGTAAAGTGCCATGCAGATTTAAATTTTTCCCATTTTGTGACGAATGCAGCTATCGATTTTTTTTTTTTTTTTTTGCATGCTAGCATGCTAGTTAACATTCGTGCCAGTCAGCTATTGGCTCTCACGCTGGCCAATAGAATCTTCCTGCCTATTCGTGGCAGCCAGCTATAGGCTCTCACTCTGGCCAGTAGGAAATGGCCGCAAACTACATGAAAACTGCCGTAGAAGCATGAAAAAGCGATTATTTCCACTATCGATGGGAGTTGAGAATTGCAAAGTCGGTCTTGATCTTTGCACTAACTTGGAGCATGTGCATGTAAAGTTTGGTGCAAATCCGTCGAAAATTGCGGCTGTGCATACGTTACACACACACACACACACACACACACACATCCTGCCTTTTATAGATAGAGATTAATCAATCGCACCGGACTATGTCTCACTCCTTTTTGAAAAATTCCTTTGATATCATTTTCAACACTTTTTTATTTTTCGACCTACCATCTTTCTTACTTTTGTCAATGCTCTTTTTTTCCCTCGGTCTGTCTCTGCATATCATATCTATCTATCTATCTATCTATCTATCTATCTATCTATCTATCTATCTGTCTGTCTGTCTGTCTGCCTGTCTAATAATATTTATATCTTTTATGAATTATCAATCAAAAGTCTTCGTTGGGGAAATACTTCCACATTCGGTTGACATTTGACTTACTGTTAAAGCTATAATTTCCAATACTGATTTTCAAAGTAGATACACTTTTCAACAAGAGGGACTGGCGCAACACATTCTTTCCTTCCATCAAGGTCTATGTTAATTTTCCTTCTTAATCTCTTTATTTCCAACGTTTATCTCTTTGCGATCTATCTTTTCATTTTTTTCTCGCAATGTCATTTTGTTTTGTCTTCCAACGCGCTTGAGTGTATGTGTGCCCGCTCGAATTTGTGTGACTAGTCGCATGCACCACACAATGCATTTGAATTCTGTCTAGCATATACGAATGCTGGACAACAGTGTTGTAACATATAAAAACCGAACCGGAAAATACATGAAAGTCGAAACCCCAAGATGCAAGCTATTAACAAACACACAAGCGATATACGTCCCCAATTTACCTACAAAATCTTTACTATCTTTTCTTCGTCAGCTTCCGGTTGGCCTCCAGCACTGAAAAAGGAAAGGAGACCGTCCACCCAATTTCACCCCAGACTTTTACTCTGTATATACTTCTCCACCTACATTCTTTTTCACTGTTCTTTTCTACATTAGCTTTTAAATTATACTTTCTATTCTCTCTCTTTGTGGTCTCTCTTTCCAATTAATTTTCATTCTTCTTCTTCTTTTTCTTCTTCTTCCTCCTCCGCCTCTTTTTCATCGTCGTCTTCTTTCTCCTACTCCTTTTCTTCTTCTTCTTCTTCTTCTTCTTCTTCTTCTTCTTCTTCTTCTTCTTCTTCTTCTTCTTTCCTTCTTTTTTTTTTTCTTTTTCTTCTTCCCCCTCCTTCTCCTCTTTTTCTGCTTCTTACTCCTCCCCTCCTATCCTCCCCACTTCCTCCTCCTCCTCCTACTCTTCTTCTTCTTATTCTTCTTCCAATTTTCTTCTCTTCTTGCCCAATATTCTTTTTTTTCTCCACCAAGTCCTCTTCCGTTTATATTATCCTCAGCTTCTTACTTACCTTTTCGATTCTTGTCCTTTCGTTGCAGGACACCACCTCCCCATCCCATTCCTCCTTCTTCACTTCATTATTTTCATCTTCATTCTTCCTTTATATAATTGTCTTTTATACTTACTACTACTACTACTAAAACTTTTCTTGCTTTCATATAATCTTACCAAGTTATTCTGAGATCAAAGGTAAATAAAGGAAGATATTGGCAGAGTTTTGTAAGTATGTGCGCAATACAATCAGAAAAAAGATGGATTTCTTAGAATTTTCTTCGCGGCTGTATCAGTATTCTTCTTAACAATTCCTAGTACTCCTACTACTACTGGACTCATGATCGCGCTTAAATACCACAGTCTTGTAATTCCTATTTCCAAATCCTTATATTTGAAAGCGCTATCAAATTATTTTAAGAAATAGCAATTTAAACATACCTATAAGATAGAACCTTGGTCTTTTACAACATTATTATTATTATTATTATTATTATTATTATTATTATTTTCTGCTTTTTATTTCCCGTTTTTCTATATGACAAAATTTCATTTTCTTCTTCCTTTTTCTTTTATTATTTTCTACTTTCCATTACTTAATTTCCCCTTACACTTTTAATATTATTATTTTTCATTAAAATGATTTCTCCTCCTCATCCTCTTCTTTTTCTTTTTCTTCTTCTTCTCCTTCTTCTTCTTATTATTATTAGTAGTAGTAGTAATAGTAGTAGTAGTATATTCTTCCTGATGTTTTTGTTTTTTATTTTATTTCTTCCTTCGGAGAATGTTTTACCGTTTGTGCTATAAAGACTACATTGTACAAAACATCACTGCATGGTGTTGTGACATATGTTGAATTAATTTGTTGAGTACGAGATAAAAAAAAAAAGAGTAGAAAACTCAATATAGGAAGACGAAAGACTTGCCCCTACTTTTACGAGTAAACAAAAGCAATGGATAGAGCAAAACAGACTAAGAAGAAAATAAACAAGATGAGAAATCCAAAAACGACATATTCTGTCTGGCTAATGATGTCGATACACGCAGCAGCCATTGTATACACACAAAGTCTAAAGTGTTGGGAAACTTTGCCCGTTACGAGGTCGGAAGTGAATTGTGATTCCCCTTCCATTTTAATGAGGCCTACCGGGGATGTCCTTGCCAAAGAGGGGCACTCTCGCGCGCAGCAATCTCTGGGGGGTCCAGTATCATTGCCAAAAATTGATTCCCATTGATAGAGAATGTCTCTTCCTGTACACGTGGAAGCTTACAGTCAAGTCAATACTGGAAAAGGTTGATGAAAGGTAGCATTATGCATTTTGAGCAGGAAACATTTTTAACTAATTCTTTTTACTTCCTCTTCTCTAGTCGTTGTTGTTGATGGTGGAGGTGGTGGTGGTTGTTGATGGTGGAGGTGGTGGTTGTTGATGGTGGAGGTGGTGGTTGTTGATGGTGGAGGTGGTGGTGGTTGTTGATAATGATAAAGGTTAATGATTTTGTTTTGACTTTGTTGTTCTTTGTCACCACTCTCACATTCTCTCATTTTCCGTCATCTTTCCGAGTTTTATTATTATTATTATTATTATTATTATTATTATTATTATTATTATTATTATTATTTCCACCGTTTCTCTTTTTGTAAGTATAAATCTTTCAACATTATTACTGTTATTTCTTTCTTTTTTAACTTTGTTGTGTTACCATGACATCATTCTCTTTCATTTTTATTACAACTATCGTTGTCATATGTTGTTGTTGTTGTTGTTGTTGTTGTTGTGTGTGTGTGTGTGTGTGTGTGTGTGTGTGTGTGTGTGTGTGTGTGTGTGTGTGTGTGTGTGTGTGCCCTAATTTATCGCGGAGGTGTTTAGCTCGTGTCAGGTTAGCTAAGTTTAGTAATTTGTTGAAGCGTTAAGATAAAAATGGGTGAAATGTATGTGCATCAGTTGCCCTACTCTGGAAGTCAATCCAATGATTTTATTTCAAAGACAAATGCAAAATAAATTATTTGAATGGATACACTGTCTGAACCACCAAAGAAAGAAACAAATAAACACATTTCATATGATAGATAGATAGATAGATAGATAGATAGATAGATAGATAATTTTTGACAGTTATTTCTTTATTCTTCCATCTGTTGCAATAAAAATAAAATAAAAAATACGAATAAAAATGAATACCAAATGACATTAAAAATAGAATCATATACGGTAATTTTTTAACGTAACTTGATTTTCATTACATTTAATATTATAAGTGTGAAAATGAGTAAAAACAAGATGGAGGCATGACAGAGAAAACAGTACAGAAAACAATTCTGGCTATATTGCTTAATGAAAGTTTCATGGTCTAATTGGTAAGCTGCTTGTTTATTTATATGGCTTTGCTGCCTTCTTAGCAGTTACAGCTTAATGGCGTAACATTTGTGATTAAAAAAACAGAAAATAAATACAAATTGTAATCTCGGATGTGAGATTTGTGTAACGCTTATCAGTGCGAAAAGTGCAATTGGAGGGCAGAATTCAAATTCTGTTGCATTCACTTTCACACAAATGCTATTGCGAAAGGCATGAATCCATCTCTCCTTCTACCAGATATGCATTTAATGTAGGGTATCTTCATTTTCTAGCCTTGAATGTCAACCAGTCTAGGAGAAGGTTTATTCTGAAATTAAAACTGGGAAGAAAAAGCCGGAAACCAACTATTCTATCTTTCCCAAAAAGTCATGGCAATTCACAGATAATAAAGAAAAAGAAATCTGTTTGGTTTGGTTTGGTTTGGTTTGATTTGATTTGATTTGATTTGGTTTACGGTATATCATCCTCAATGGTTTATTTAATGCTAACAAGATTATTATTGCTACTAATGTTTTTTTTTCCAAAACTGTATTGCTGGTAATAATTTTTTCCTTCAAAAATTCATTACTGATAATATTTGTACAAAAATGTATTGCTGGTATTAAAACCTATTTTTACATTTTCATAGTGTTTTGACTCCAGTTTAGGGGTTAACTATTTGCTCATAGCTTGAAACCTAACAGGTGCTACCACCCCGAGTCAGGGTGGACATGGGAACACCAGCAATTAAGACGTGGTTTCACACTCCTCAAAGTCTCCCGATCAGAGGCCTTGCTTGTTGGATGTAGTTTATCGTCTTACCCAGGATGCGGATATCATCATACCCAGGACACGGGTATAGTTTATCGTCATACCCAGGACGCGGGTGTAGTTTATCGACATACCCAGGACGGAATCAATCTGTGGAGAAACATAATCACCTACATCTTAAAGTAACAATGCATTAAAATATCCTAAACAAACAACAGAGACAGTGCTTAGTCTAAGAAATTTGAATAGTATTACAACTAATACTACTTCTGTATGTAAACAATTAAGTATCTTTTTTAGTTCCGACAACTTACTCAACATTAAAGAATGACTATTTGCGGTTGTTAAATTGGTTGGTTCTAATTGTTTTGAGAAATAAAGGAAATGTCACAAGAAATGATGACGACAATATGTCACCACCGAAATAAACTTTCATAAAGATATAACTGATTTTAGGAAAGCGGATCAACATACTTAACTTAAATAGCTATATAAAAAAAAAGTGGAAAAAGAATATATATATATATATATATATATATATATATATATATATAAACCTAAAGTGCCAGACAAACCTACCTAGGTTTCACCTACGCGGATCGTCAGGGTAAAAATATATATATATATATATATATATATATATATATTTAGTGGATTTTTATTTTTAGTGGATACTAACATTTAAGTAGACGCCCTGTTTATTTCTGAAACAGTATATTTATTTATTTTCGTCTACTGACATGAATATTCGGGAAATCTTATTAAAGAAAAAAATGCCCTCCCCGAGACACATCGATTCTAACGTCAGTTTCTTTTTGTCAAGCTGCACGCAGGTTTGAATCCTGCGAAAGAGAGCATATTTTTTAATAAATAAAAAGTAGGCAAAAAAAAGTATTCTAATACATGTATATGTATGTATATGCGTATATATATATATAATAGAATAATAGCTACCCATACGTTTTCGTTTAGCCAATCCCTATGCAGACGCTCAATAAGGCATACTTGTGTTTGTTCAACATCCACAGAGCCAACCTGTGGTTTGTACTGCAACTGTGCTGAGCAGAACTTAGTTACTGTTTTCTAGCGTGATCAACAATCTGAACAAGGCCAGCACACTCAAACCCTCGTTCACGGTGACTTGTGACTTCGTGCTAGCAAACCCCCATGGGTCCCGTCTACCCAATTTCACTCACAAGGCTTGGGCCAACCCGTGGTATGGTTTTCAGGCACTTTCCGAAGATGTTGCACATTGGGATCACCCCTCCAGATCGATAACATCAGGAAGTCTCCCTCCTGCCAAATCGACCATGGTGGAGATCGTACCCGCCCCATATATATATATATATATATATATATGGAAGGGAGTCTGCATATATATGTATAATCACTGATTTAAAATCACAAATACAGGTATAGATAAGACAATCAAAGATACAGGAAAACAGAAGACACTCTCCAAATCTGGACATTGATAAGCTAGGGTAATTAATTTGATTTATGATACACACTTATTCTCAGAAATCCCAAGACATTTTCCTCAGACACAGTTTTGTTTTTTGTTGGTTTTTTTTTTTTCATTTTAAACCGAGGAAACCAAATGCGTCTTTAATAAAATTTTACACATTGTCTCATGTCCTTAATACATTTTTCCACTACTTCTCATCTCATATATATATAAATGTATCTTGTAATCACACACACGCGCGCACACATACACAGAGACATCTTTGTCTGAGTGTCGTAACTTGTTTCAGGCCTGTGTATCGTGCAAGATACCTCGCGTCAAATACACCCAAACGACCATCACTTATATGTAATAACGCTACAGAGCACTACTTGATTCCCCAACTATCGCTCTCATGTCTCCACTGCAGACGTGTACGAATTTGTTGAGCCTATTCCAACACGTAGTCTTATAAGAGGTAACAAATTCCCTATGGTCCATTCTTGATACACCTGTATCCACGTTACTCTGATCTGTACTTTGAACGCCGTGTGGTCTATATATACAATGCATCAATGTAACTGCATGATTGTCCGAAATATGGACTGCGGATGTAGGGTTAGGTTTAGGTTGATTTGGTCACCCAACATTTGTAGTAATTCTTCAAAATTATAATCCAGCCCACGACTCTCATCAAACGACTCCAGTTAAACGAACGGAGCGCCTGTATATCTCCGTTGCACGATACCTGCGTTCACTGAACTCTTTCACGAAACTAAAATCAACCTCAACATTTCAAGCCTAGACGGTGAACTGGTACGAGTGTTACTACGTCATAAAATAACCGAAGAATATGAAAATGGTATCTACTACACCCTGGTCAAAATCGGTAATGACATTCAGTGCTGTCATTTTATTTTCCGACAGTAAATATATTGTCTATTGTTTCTGTAATTCTGTTCTCTTGATCATATTCTTTTCCACTGGCAAGCACATTCCTCTAGCTAGCTAGAAGAGTTATCTATCTACAAGTTAAGAAGATCTATTTATCTACAGCTAGCTAGCTGTAGATAGACAGATATCTCTTCTTTTTCATTAAATTTATATTTCAGTAGTCCATATACAACACTCACATAAGTGCACCTACTTTGGATTTCCTCCCTAGCAGCATAAACTCTTTTTATTTCCACGTTTTCTCCCCTCCCTCCACCACCACTTACACCGTTTTTAGCATTTCCAATTTTCTAACCTTCCTACTAAAAACTATTTCCTATTGCGTTCATTTCTTGACATATTATTTTTGATCCTACGAAAAGAGGTGAATGGAAACAACTGACAGCTTAACATTGTTGAATCAGTTTAATACCGAAGATACAATCTGACGCAGGTAAGCACGCAATCATGGTGAATACGAAACTAACTATTAAATTAAGTTTCCAAACGCTGTATTATCAACCGAAAATGTCGTCGATACTGACAACGAAAGGTGTACCCCGGCCACTGCAACAGAAATGTGAAGGTGGGACGAAGATACCGAGTGATGACACTGACTGAAAAATTTGAAATGATAGTAATCAAGTAGGCTAGTGAGTGTAGAATGAGTGAATGATAAGCCGTGGGTAGATCGATAGAGTCGAAGGAGAAGAAGAATCCGAACTGGTTTCGACCGCAAGACAAGACACAGAAATACCGATGTGACAGTCGACATGACGTCATATCGAAGCATAACCTACTTAAGATTGCGGTCTGTTAGAATTGTGCAACTTACTGACAAATGATTATGATTATTTTTTCGCACCTACGTAGTGCTGTTTGTTGTAACCCGACACTTGTGGAGGACGCCAAGTCCATGAATCTCAGCTATTATGTCGGTCACCTCAAGCTGCCTTCAGTCTTTTTCCTTCGAATAAAAATCTCGCCTGCCATCTGTACTTATTCCCAACCCTTTCTCGCCGACCCTGTATTCATGAGTCAATAATGGAGCATAGCTATTCGTCAGTAAAAAAAAAATGTATAAGTTGGAATACATGTATTTCTAAGAAGACACCTGTGAAGACAAGGAACATTTACGCAGACAGGGCGGACATTTCACATACTTACATATACACTGACATCAACGCATGTTTTTATCTGTATAAAATCTGAATGAGTTGTTCTTACATATATATATATCTTATGTATCTTATATATATGTATAGGAAATGATGAGACAACGTAGACAAGCTTATAAACAACTCGTTTCGCCGACATCTGTTGAGCTTGGTTTCTTCAGGTCAGAATGAAAGACAATACTATTATACATCCTACAAATACAAGTATATATACTTTATATAATATATATATTTATATATATATATATGTGTGTGTGTGTGTGTGTGTAAGTTTAATCTAAATTTGTATACGCAATGTGTGTTACATATGTATAAAATACATAAAATGTTACATATGTGTAAAATAGATGTCCTACAAAAAAATCTGCTCCTTGGCTCCTTCTATCATTTTGATTTGCATACCAACTGTGATGAATGGACGGTAAGTTACTCGAAAGATTTTCAACAAAAGAGTAGCCCAGAGCTAGTGTCAAGATGAAAGATTTATTATAACATACGAATCTGTTCTTACTGTTAAATCAAATGTATGCCACATGGCCATTGTTTTCACTACATTTTGAACCCTGCTGCAAGGTGATATTTAATAGATGAGTTCTAAGCGTCCTTCGATTCTCACTGGGTACACCACACCTTCGGCGCTACGCTTAGAAATTCATTTGGGCATCTCGACGTGGTGAAATAGTTAGCAAGCTTGTCTCGTTAGGTCAATTACTACTGAATAGTGAGTTCGATCCTCACTGGGTGCTTCTCGTTTTTGGCCTTGTGCCACATCTAATCTACGCTTAGATTAAATGTAGATAAAATGTATTTTCGACACAATTGCTATATTATGTACACAATAAATCTCGAGTTAAGTGTCCTCCTGAAATGTCATTTGTTTTTAAGTTTGCTTTCTCCAACAAATATTTACTTTTCCTCAAGATTTTGATATATATTGATTTAATGTCGGATTTTTAAAAACGCCACTAATTTCTCGAAAATTACTGATTTCAGAAAATCAATAAAGGAGGCAAACAATAAACTCAGTATTCAAATATTAGATTTTAAATAACTTAGGACCACGCGTAGACTAAACTTATTCCGTGAAATCATTCGTTTGATATGTATCACTACTTCCAAAGATCGCTAAAACATTAGCATACATGATTTTAAAAAATGCACAAAACTTAATAAAAACAAAATTCTATCGCTAAATCTTTGCTAAGAGGAATGAGCAAAGGATCTTTCGATTATTAAATTATATTTTTCAATCATTTTTAGAAACTTCAAAATTTTGTTGAAAAATTTTGTTTTTCTTACGTCAATGGGAGACCATAAATTAGTATGTGAAAATATAGCGTCTTTTTTCGGTGAAAAATATACTGATTTGGAAATTCTTTCAAAAATGTGATAACTGTAGGATTTTAATGGAAATCAAATGGGATCAAACTAACCATCTGCAAGAATAATTAACTAAGTATAAATCTACGATAGATAGATAGATAGATAGATAGATAGATAGATAGATAGATAGATAGATCTACAATAACTATATAAGTATATAAAATCAAATGAACGAATAATATTGTCTAATTATTTCAAATATATGTATATAAAACAAATTGTTTATCTATTATTAATATTAGAAACGAAAGTATGCAATCAAAATGAACATTAAACAATGCAAATATATCGTCCGTATAATCTTGCGATCTGGTTGTATAACACTCCAATAAAATCATTGCTTATGATCGAAATAAATCAAATCATGGCCTCCCATGATTCAACACAAAAAAGAACAAAAATATTTAAACAATTCTTACTGCAAATTTTACACTAGATCAGTCATATCGTTACAGAAGCCATCTTCTCTTGGAAACAACCATTTGTAATCTCTGCAAAAGAAAACACTGATTTGCTGAACATAGAAATCTTACTGTTATAGTCGAATAACTACTTAACAACAGTAAACATTAACACATATGGCAACTCGGATAGAATATTAATTTTTCAAATACAGAAAGTTTTATCATTTGCGAATTGCGAACGATCATACAATTTTCAGAAATGTATGTATGACATGTATATATATAATATACATATATATGCAGATACGCATCTATATAGATAAATGTTCAAAAGACATTTATTTTACATAAAATATTTTTTAACATAATCTTCTTCCTTGTTAATACACTTAATTCATTGATGGATATTAATCACATCTAACATGGCGCTGTTTAAATTTCAGATCAAAATTCGATTAATGACTAACAGATTATGGATATATGAAATCCAACCTCGTACATAAGCAATGTGCACAGATACATACACAAGCATATACGTGTGTGCATGTGTATATGCATGTATTTGCACGCGCATATTTTTGTGTGTGTGCGCGCGCATGTGTGTGTGAAATACATAAACACATTTAATAGATACTGATTCATCCGTTCATACTGTTCGTTAGCACTGAATGTCAAGAAAATCTTGAAAATGTTTTCAATGTTGCCTGTGCAATCAATCAAGATTTTTATTTTGTTTTTGGAGGAAATTTTAACCGGAGAAAATGGATTGCACAGGGGATGTACGTTTTTCTTTTCTTTTCTTTTTTTTTTTCTTTTCTTTTCTTTTCTTTTCTTTTCTTTTTTTTTTTTTTTTTTTTTTTTTCTTTTCTTTTCTTTTTTTTTTTGACAGTAATTATTGGTAATATATAATAAAAGCTTTATGAAAATTAAAAACATAAATATTTTTTAATATATTCTGAGCAGCCATCTAAATGGTATCTTACTTTTCTAAAACTCAAAGGGAATTCTTTAATACACAACACGAGAGCTGAAATCAACTGCTGCTGTGCAAGGGTCAAGAACTTTTGAATGCGGCAATAAAAAAGACCTTTTTTTTCTGGGCAGAATTATCAAATAGTGATCTTGCTGCAATACTAATTAGGTTTGAAATACGATGAGGTCATGGCCGGATTTAGATGTAGAGATTCCCTAGGCTATTACACTTGTGAGGCTCCTTCAAATCACCCCATTCTCATGACTAGAGGGAAATGGAAGAGTGTTAAACTAAACAATTTGAGTAAAGCCGAGGATGATGATGATGGGTGTTTACAGTTACTGAATGGTTATTTAGTATCTACAATAAGTTATGAAAGACCTATAACAGTGGAGAAAGGCCTGTGATAGTGTCAAAAATATTATACACCTTGGCTGGAGGGCCCCTAGATTTTGAAGCCCTAGGTTTCAGCCTGCTAACCTATAGGCAAATCCTGTACTGGATAAGGATCAGTGAAACGTATCACCTTCAGAGAATCATTTGTTTTGTTCCATGCAACATCGCATAACTGGTAAGAAGTTCAAAGAGGTTCAAAATATCAAAGAATCTCTCAAAGTCAAAACCGGACTTGTACTTTTATGGTGAAGTAGATAATTTAGCTAAAGTAAAATAAATTTTCATTTAATAAAAATCCAAGGAAAATGCTTTGATGAATGATTATCATGACTACGAATTAATCTGGTTAAAACGCTTATTTAAGCATTGTATCAACGTAATAAAATAAAGTGTCTTTTTTCTTTTCTTTTTTTCTTTTTTAGCGTTTCAACCCAAGCAAGGAGGGAAGCCACTAGCACGCAAGGGGTTACAGAGAGTTGGAGCGAGCGCAAATAGGAGTGATAGAGAAAAAGATGAAGAGAAGGATAGGGGATAGATCAGGGCATCTGGAGACGTCGATTGACATTACATTTGAATAGTTGGAGATTATAGCTATCAGGGAAGCAGGAAAAGGGGAGGGAATCCACAGGCGAGAGGTGCGAGACATGAAGCTATTGGAGCAGAAGAGACGGCTACATTTAACAGTTTTGACAGTGAAAGTGTGTGAGCCAGATGCCAGCCTAATAGAACGCTTAAATTCATGAAGTCTGGGAACCAGCGAAAGCAGGTCATCGGAGCAGTAACCATGAAAATATTAGTAAAAAAGACAGAGGAAGGCGACGGCACGTCTGTGAGAGAGCGACTGCAGATGAGATGCCAGATCAGGGCCAATTACATTTTTAAACATAAACATTAAATACTTTTCTTTCTAAAGTTTATCATTTCTTCTTATTAAGAAAGTGTTTAATAAACCTCCAGATGATAACCATCTACGCTATAATGTGTCTGTGTCAGAAAAGGGTTTAATAAATATTAATAAACATTGTTTAAATTCGACTTCCATTCGAACAGTATCTTCCCACGAACCGCTATTTTGTGGAACTGACTCCCAAGATCACTGCAATCTTAACCTGGTCAAGTTAACTGTTATCTTCCCCACAAATGTTCATAAACTGTGTTTCTTACCCCTAACTCCGTAATAACTGTAGGAAAACGAAGATTACAGAATTTTCGTAGGAATCTATATTAGCATGTAAACTAATAAAACAGTCATTTATTCATGTATATAAGTTGTGTTAATCGAATATACGTTTCTTTGACTTATATCATTTCAACTTCTTTATAAATGAGAAAATTACTTCGTTTTTATAATCAAATCTGGCAATCCCACGAACAATTTTATTATCGATATTTTATAATGGACATAATTTGAAATTTCCACGATACATTGCTAATAAATAAA